GATTGTTTCCAGTGCATGCATGCGCAGAATTGTCAGAAGGCAAGAACAGTTAAAACAAAAGGGATGACTCGGGAGTAGGGCTGGGAGATGATTGGCCCCTCCCAAGACTTAAAAGAGGAGCAAAAGCCTGTGGGCCTTTGCAGGAAGCAACGTTGTTAATTCTGTGCAGTTTAAAGCCTGAAGCTCTGTTTGATTCTGGACTCCGTGTGGCTTTGCCAATTAGGTCTTTGGCAGCGAGATAAAGGGAGATAAAGGTGGGTGATTATCAGCCTTACCCCGAAGGACTCTTTACAACTATTTGGGACTCATCTGTGAATGAACAGAATTCACAGCTGTTAAAATAAAAGAGGTTTTTGGGACTACTCGTATGTTTTACTGACTCAGGAAGCCTAGGTCAGAACACTGTTCTGGATGACTGAGAATCTCCATAGACACTGAAATGGCTGTAAAAGCAGCCATGTTGCCAAACGCTCAAAATTCAATCACGTGACCACGGAGGGAGAAGGGCTTGACCATTTGAACTTTGAATATGGGTTCTAAGTAGCCTCAAGGTAGGCTCATCATAACTTCAAACACTCAAAACAGTTACTACGGGACCAGTCTTAACTGAAGAACTACCTGTACTGGATTCCTCAGTCAGAATCTTTCAATGTGTGAGAATTAAAGTACCAGATTTTCAATTAATTTGAAAAGTCCGGGAAGGTTTCTCTACTCTTTTCTTGGAAGACTTTAAATAAAACCCTTCCTCTTCCAAGATTTCTGTTTATCTACATACAGTATTTTCTCTTCAATCATGTCTGATACTCAGAAACTGCACGAAGAAATCCCTTGGGAAAGTTTTCTTGGGAAAGTTTTTCAGAGGCGATTTGCCATTGCCTCTTTCCTAGGTTGAGATAGAAGACTAACCCTAACCCTAACCCAGGTCACCCGGCTGGTTTTATACCTAAAGCAGAACTTGAACTCAGGATCTCCCGAATTCTAGCCTGATGCCTTCACCCCTACACCAAACTAGCTCTCATCCCTTTTGTTACTTTCACGCAATACTAACTGGTGGATCAGAAAAGTAAGATTCTTTCTAGCAACCTGATCACACAAGTGTCTCTTCTGCTAAAATAAAGGATTATTTGCCAGTTCTGTTTTTTAACTTTGCCAAAGAACAGAGCAATAAAGAAATAATCAAAGTCAGGGGCAAATTGGATCACTTTAAGGATTCGGTGGACAGTGGATTCGTGAGTAGGAAATTAATACATCTCCAGCCTTAGAAGGATGTTACTTGTGGTTGATTCGGAAAGCACAATAAATCAAATGACACATTTAAGTCGATTAGTCTCAAGTTTCTTGCTTTGAAAAAACCCCCACACAGAATAAAAAAAAATATGCCTAATGCTTTGGGGCACTTCTTTCCACAAAAATAAATGAAAATCAATCAACAGAAGTACAAAACATTCTAAAGGAAGAGATTTGCATCTCCTGGAAATGGATTAAACTTCATTCCAGATTGTTCATTTCAGTGGTGGGTTTCACTTACCTTTGGTACTGGTTCGCTCGCGCACCACTTCTGCGCATGCGCGCAGCGTATTTGATGATGTCCAGGTGGGTGGGCGGAGCCTTTCACTGTCACTGCTACCGGTTTGCCTGAACCAGGGCGAACCGGTAGCAACCTATCACTGATTCATTTGCAATACACATTGTCCAGTGGAGTTTACTGGGTTTTTTAAAATAGCATTCTCTCCCAGAAGAAATTCCCCCTTATCTTTAATGATGGCTAAATACCACCTGAGTAGCCACATTACCAATGCAAATGCTATACATGATTCCTTCTTCATCAGAGTTGAAAGGTAATTAGCAAAACAATACTGGTTTGCATTAAATGTAAACCAAATAGTAGCAATAACACTTAGACTCACAGTGCTTTTACAGCCCTCCCTAAGCGGTTTACAGAGTCAGCCTATTGCCCCCAACAATCTGGGTCCTTGTTTTACCCACCTCAGAAAGACGGAAGGCTGACTCCAACCTTGAGCCTGATGAGATTCAAACTTCCAAAATGCAGGCAGCTGGCAGTCAGCAGAAGTAGCCTGCAGTACTCCACTCTAACCACCGCAACTCAGTACAGGTGGTCCTCAATTTACAACCACAATTTCTATTGCTAAGATAGGTGGTTGTTAAATGAGTCATACTCAATTTTACAATCTTTTTTGTCATAGCTGTTAAGCAAATCATTGTAGTTGTTAAGTGACTCACATGGTCATTGAGCGAATCTGGCTTCTTCCATTGACTTTGCTTGTCGGAAGCCATCTGGGAAGATTGCAAACGGCAATCACAGGGCCTTTGGGACACCTCAACCACTGTAAATACATGCTGCTGCCCAAATTCTGATCATGTGACCGTGGGAACGCTGCAAGGACCAGTCATAAGTTACTTTTTTCAGTGCTGTTTTAACTTCACTAAATGAATGGTTGTAAGTCGAGGGCTCTCTAAACTGGCGTCCTCTTTGTCTTCAGAAGTGATTACCATAAAATTTGGATGGTTTCAGAAGGGGACTGGAGGAATTTCTGGAGTAACTGAGCTACATGTAGTCCTCGACCACAATAGGCCCCCAAATTTCTGTTGCTAAGCGAGACAGTTTGTTAAATAAATTTTGCTCCATTTTACGACCTTTCTCACTACAAAAATTGTTAAGCGAACCAATGCAATTGTTAAGTTTTTTAATATGGTTACCTGAATCTGGCTTCCCCATTGACTTATCTTGACAAAAGGTCTCAAAAAGTTATCCCCGGGTCACTCTCACTGACATAAGTATGAGTCAGTTGCCCAGTGTCTGAATTTTGATCACATGACCATGGGAACGCTGCAACGGTCGTTAAGTGTGAAAAACAGTCCCTTTTTTCAGTACCATTGTTAACTTTGAACGGTCATTATACGAGCTGTTGTTAAGTCGAGGGCTGCCTGTCGTAGTCTGATTGTTTCGGTTTGAGAGTAGCATGCCTCTAATATTAATTGCAGAGAAAGAGTAGCAAAAGTGTGAAATGCTTCCATCTTCTGGTTGTGAGCAGAGACATCTGCTGGGTACTATGAAAACAAATGTTGGATTAGGATGGAGCGATTTAGCGGGCCTAGTCTAATATTCTTCTGATTTTACTCAGCAAAAAAGAAACTGAATCTGGAAAAAAACTGGACACCATTTAGAGTCCAGCTGTGTTAAGACACTTCCAAGAAAAAAAAAGGGCAACGACACCAAAAAGGAACAAAACAATAAATACATCTTCTTGGAAGAACCACAACGTTTTTGCAGCCTGACACACTTTCTACAAAGCCAGCCAGTTGCAGGCAGCTTCAGAGAAAGAAAGCTTAGCCAGAAGTCTCCAAAGAGACATTTTGGATTCAGAGCCAAGGACTCAAACCACAAAGAAGGAAGTGGGTTTAATGGGAAAAAAATTGATTTGATCAACATGTATATTAATTAAAATTAAATGAGGTTAACATCCATCCATTTAAACACGCTGACCTACTTAACTGAACAGAATACAAGTAGTCTTCTAAAAGTTAGCTTAGTGACCATTCAAAGTTACAACTGCACTGAAAAAGGGACATATGAACATTTTTCGCACTTACGACTGTTGCAACATCCCCATTGTCATGTGATTTACCTTTGGATGCTTGACAACTGACTCATATTTATGACGGTTGCAGTGTCCCGGGGTCATGTGATCACTTTTTGGGGAACCTTCTGACGAGCAAAGTCAATGGGGAAACCAGATTCACTTAACAACGATGTTACTAATTTAACAGCTGCAATGATTCACTTAACAAATGTGGCAAGAAAAGCTGTAATATGGGGCAAAAACTCAACAGATTTCTCACTCACTTAGCAACACAAATTTTGGGCAGAATTGTGGTCATAAGTTGAGGGCTATCTGTATAAAGAGACCTACTTTATCTTTCAAGGACTCTCACCATTTTTGAGTGGCCTCTGTTCACCAAAAAAGAGGGCATCCCACTGTGTCTATTCTCTTCTATAACTCAGTTTGGGGTTGAGCCAGTGGTGGGTTGCTACCGGTTCTCCCCGGTTCTTGCGAACCGGTAGTGCAAATTTTGAGTAGTTCAGAGAACTGGTAAATACCACCTCTGCCTGGCCCTGCCCCCAATCTATTCGCTGCCTCCCGAGTCAGGAGTCGGGAGTCCAGCTGATCGGCTAAAAGGAAAAAATCAGGGTTCTCTTGACAAAGAAGAGAAAAAAAAACCAAGACATTGTTGCTTTAAATTGAGAAGCCACGAAGCCTCCCAACTGATCGGCTAGAAGGAAAAAATCAGAGCTCGCTTTTCAGCCAGATCACTTGGCAAAGAAGAAGAAGGAAAAAAAAAAAAGATGCTGTCACTTTAAACTGACAAGCCAAGAAGCAGCTGCTTGAAGGAGGATTTTACTTGCAGAAGCCAGCAGCTCATTTCTGGGTCAGCTGAACAACAAACTGAATAAGAGAAGGGATTCTTATATGGTTCTATATTTTTGAAGTTTTGGGGTTTGTGCAACATGGGCTTTGTGTTTCTAAAAAAGTTTGGGCGATTTCCATTGTGAAACATCCTGTCCTGAATGAGTTTTCTGCCTGCTTGTAAATGGAGCCGAACTTCCGGCTTCCACTTTCTATTATCTCTAAGTCCCGGTAGCTGTTTTCTTCTTACAAAGTTTCCTTTATGCAGATGCAGGAATGTGGAATGAGTATCAGGCAGGTTCCTTGTTAGTAGCTTGATTTTTCCTTGCTTTTCTGGGAGCCTTTTCTTATGAGTAAAATTTTATTTGGGGAAATGAAGAGGGGGGGAGTTTGATTCCTTCCCAGAGCAGGTTAGTGGAGTGGGGAGGGAATGGGGATTTTGCAGTATCCTTCCCCTGTCACGCCACCAAACCATGCCACGCCCACCAAGCCACAACCACAGAACCGGTAGTAAAAATTTTTGAAACCCACCACTGGGTTGAGCCCATTAGAAAATGAGTGCATGTTACTTACCGTCACTATAATCTATGGGAGCATAGGCACCTAGGAAAAGAGAGGCTGCAAAGTTGCTCACCAAGGAAATTTTCTGGAGGCAGAAAAGAAAAAGAAGTAAACGAACAACCAAACAAGCAAATAATCATATGACATGTATTTCTCTTTCACAGACCATTCAAAACAGAGTGTTTTGAAACTCCCATTGAGTTCAGCAAGCATTTAAAATATTACGTTTAGAAAGAGGATCTGAAAGGGTTTAATTGTTGCAAGGTCTTGCTTTGATTTTCTTTTCTTTTTTTGAGAGTTGCAAAAGACTAAGCTACCAGAAACCTTTCTTTCTTTCTTTCTCTCTCTCTCTCCCTTACACGCACAAAGCCATGGATTTTTAAAAAAAACTGAAAAGAAAATCTTTAAAAGAGGTTGTTGCTATGAGGAAAAATAGGAGGAGGAACAAGTATTACGTATACTCAACGCCTAGAGTTACTTATAAAGTAATAAAGGCTGGATAAAGATCAAGTAAATAAATAAATAACAATTAGCTTGTCTTCCCTACATTATTTTATACTGGGAGGAAAGAAATTGGAGTCTAGCGATATTCATGGCATCTGTCATAAAAAAAGGGATGAAGAAGCAAGAAGGCCAGAAAAATAGCTTCTGTTAGTTGAAGTCATGTAAGAACAGATGCGACTAGAGTCTTATGCTACCACTGGGTTTCCAAACTGTGCTAAGCCATGCAGTAAACTCTGATTTATTCCCCTGCTTATAGACAGCATTCTCAGAATCCAAATATTGTGTTGAAATGTATCATCTCAAGTCGTTTGCTAAAATAGGCAGCCATACTGTGATGGACTATTAATAACAATGGCAATAGCTATAACACTTAGACTTATATACCGCTTCATAATGCTTTACAGACCTCTCTAAGCGGTTTACAGTCAGCGTATTGCAACCCCACCCCCACCCCCCACCCCCACCCCCCCACACAATCTGGGTCCTTATTTTACCGACCTCGGAAGGATGAGAACATGGGTCAACCTTGAGCCCGTGAGGATCGAACTCCTGGCAGTGAGCAGAATTAGCCTGCAATAATGCATTCTAATCACTGCGCCATCCCAGCTCATCCTTAATAGAATATATGGGAGGTACAGATAGAGTAATTAATCTGGCAAGGTCTGTCTGTCTGTCTAACTATCTAACTATATATCATCTATTTATTAAATTTATTGAGCACCCATCTTACCCCAAGATAACTCTGGGTGGTTTACAATATTAAAAAGATAAAGTCTTACAAATATACAATAGGAACTACCTTAACCCTAACCCTATGTAATAAAAAGATAAATACACAACCCTAGTTAAAAGACGAGGAGGGAGGGAATAGGATGAGCAAGTGGGAGAGGGTATCTGTTATTAGTCTGTCAACCACCCCCAATGTGAAGACCCCTCACTGAAGCTCCAAGCCAACTAGTAGAACCAATCTTTAAGCTCTTGAGGAAGGTCAGGAGGGTTGGAGATTCTGCCCTATAGCTGTGGAAACAATGAAGAACTCATCTCAGAAAAGTCATCACATGTCAATCTTGGCTTTTGGGGCCGTGACCCATCTTGCGCTCTTGTTGTGGTTCCGTTGCCTGAGCCTGGGCTATCGACAGATGCAGACTCTGAGAGTGAGGGAGAGGAGTTGGCAAGGCCTCCCTCTCCAGGACCCTCCTCTCTGGCAATGCCTCCGGAGGACACCGAAGGCCAAACGATAGGCTCAGAGCCAAGCACGTCCCCGCAGCCACAGGTAGACAGTGACGAAGAAGGTAAGTGCTGGCTGGACCCTCGGCAGAGGCGCAGGGAGAAGCGTGCGCAGCAGAGGGGAAGGCGTGCCAGAGATTAGCTGAGTCATTGGACCACACCCCACAGGGTATAAATGAGGGTGTGGTGGCCGGTTCAGTTTGTGACAAGCAGAAACTGGAAATAATCCATGATCTCTGCGTTACTGGACTTTGCCTGCTTTATCGGACTGCATTTGGATGTATTGTTGAAACTCTGCCTGCTTTATCGGAATGCTTGCAGTCTAATCTTTGTTTTGTGTGAGTAAAGTCTGAATTGGCAGCTAGCCACTGGGTTGCTGCCAACTTTATCTTCAAAGAGTTTTGTTGTGTGGCTTATTAACTCCGGGCCGTCTGTGGGGGTGCGTGTGTGGTATGGGGACAGAACAGCTCTATTCTCTGCATCTACCATGTACTCTAAGGAAGCAATCCCCAAACCTTTTGGCACCAGGGACTGGTTTCGTGAAAGGAAATTTTTCCACGGACCAGGGAAAGGGGCGGGAGGGGGACAGACAACCTTGATCCCTCACACGTAGAGTTTACAGTAGGGTTCGCGCTTCTATGAGAATCTAAAGCCTGATGAAGTGGCGCTGAGGTAGTGATGATAGCTCTGGGGAATGGCTGAAAATTCATATATAGCTTCACTCGCTCACCCACCCACTCAACTCCAGCTGTGCAGTGCAGTCTCTAACAAGCCATGAACCGGTACTGGTTGGTGGCTGAGTGTTGGGGACCCCAGTTCTAAGAATTATTAGAGAGAGGCTCTATTCACCCTCCTTCTCTAACACGAACTATCTGGACCCTTAATATTCCTCTGGAATGTTCAAACTATGCGGAGTTAAAGACCAAGGGAGAATTTGGAGTCTATAAAATGTTAGCATATTTTAGTTTATGATTGTTAAATGCTATACCCTGTATTTGCTCTGGGAAGTCCAGGGGGGTGGGGGGTGGGAAGGGGAAGGAGGGGGGGTGAGAGGGAGGCGAGGAGAAAATGTCTGTATCTTTGATAAAACTTTTTAATTTAAAATAAAAAAATATTCCTCTGGAATGGAATATTCTTCTTCCTGGAAATCCAGCCTATTACATTCCGTCACACATGCATATTTAATAAATTAAATAATAAATAAAATAAAATAATACAGGCTCAGCTCTTAAAGATACCAGCATGCAATATCATGACTCAAGTTACAAAAGGAGTGGTGTTTGGATCATTTTTGTCATTTGCCTCTATCCCCTACCCTCCGTGAACACCCCACTCTCAGACCTGGTGCATTTTGAAAGTCACCCTTGATCAAAAGGCAATGCAGAAAGAAGGAACTCTCTTTCTTGTTTGCAATGCATTTTGGAATTGCATTGCAAGAGATAATTAAACTTTTTTTTAAAAAAAGAGGGGGGGAGATAAATTCATCAGTTAATAATCCCCATCTCTAATCTCCCCCATTTTCTATAGAAGGAATCATATCTAGAATTGCATTTCTGGCATGAGAGCACGCCTTCCGTTAACAAAATAGCTAATATTAAGCATTCAGATTAATGTGATGCTGTATCAGCAGCCACTTTTACTGAACCTTCCTTTTGATAGATCTCTTTTCTGTTTAATGAGGGGCTTTTTGTTACCATATTTATGCTAATGTAATTTGTACAAGCATTGTGATAAGTTCCCCTTGCAAACCATAATAAAACCTAAATTAGTTATGATTCCCAATAAACGAGCAGAAGATTAGCAAACCTCGGTTTGTGAATAGACTTCAGGATCCCGGCTGTAAATCTTCGCTATCTGGTTTCCTGTAAAACGCTGAGAAAGGACAGGCCACCAATATTTAGGAACACAAATTGTAAATGGAGTCAATAATAATTAACTCAGCATAATGAGTTCAGGGCATTGCACCCTGGATATTTTAATTTATTAAAGGCATAACAGCAGTTGCTATTCAGATGCAACAGGCATAAAACAGATGATAATGCATTGACAGGTGAATGTTTAACTCACCTGGAGTTTAAAAAGGTAACTGAAAAATATATTTCCCCATAATATGTATTTCAGAAACAATAAATCATGCTAAGTAATCTTTCTAGACATTTAGGCAAGATTTCAAAAAATTTCAGGAATGATTCATTCATATCAGAGGTGGAATGTGCAACAAGAATGTGTTCATACCTGGAATACTGTGTGCAAATTATTTTGGGAGACGGGAGAAAGAGTTGCTGCCTAGACAATGTCTATTAAATGACATTTGAGTCCCAGGGGGGTGGGAGGTGGGGTGGAGATGGGATCTCAGAAGCAGGGGTGGGTTCTAAATTTTTTTACTACCGGTTCTGTGGGCGTGGCTTATTTTGTGGGTGTGGTTTGGAGGTCATGTGACTAGGTGGACGTGGCTAGCTGGTCAGAGTCATTTCTGGAAGGTCCTCGCACTTACGACCGGTCCTCGCACTTACAACCCAATTCATTTGTTTGCTTTTAACACTGATCAGCTGTAGGACGGACCTTTGAAGCCCCGCGGCAAGAGATTAAACAGTTTTTTTCCCTGTAGTCATCAGCTGGGACTCAGGAGACAGCAATAGATTGGGGGTGGGACCAAATAAAAGGTAAGAATAACGTGGGGGGGAGGAGGCGGGGGGGAGAACCGGTTCGGTGATGTCATATCGTCACTGCTACCGGCTCGGCCGAACCCGACCGAACCAGGAGGAACCCACCACTGCTCAGAAGGGATCCTCTATAGTTTTCAGGAGCATAAAAGTAAGTGGGGGGAGATACTTTCAGGCTTGCAAGATTCTGTTAATATAACCTTATTATCAAAATAAAGTTAGTACTATGCTTGGTGCTTCTTATCTGGACTACCTCAAAAGGCTGATGTCAAATCTTGCAGTCCTCCTTTGGGATGTTTTCTCCACCACCACCCGTCGTTCGAACTCAGATTTTGATTAACAGTATTGTGGTCCGCCAGCAGCCTGCGGAGCTGGCAGCAGAGTCGGACAGTGAGGAGGCTGGGGAGGATCATGGGCCAGTCCTGGAGTCTGGAAAAGGCTCGGACGAGGGCTCTGCGTCGGAGGCAGAGAAAGGGCCATCTGGGAGGTATGTCCTGCCTCCGGAGCCTCCAGAGTCAGACCTCAGCGAGGCAGAGGAACAGGGGGAGATTGTTTCCAGTGCACGCATGCGCAGAGCTGCCAGAAGGCAAGAACAGTTAAAACAAAAGGGACAACTCGGTAGTAGGGATTGGAGATGATTGGCCCCTCCCATAAGACTTAAAAGAGGAGCAAAGGCACGTGGGCCTTTGCAGGAAGCAACGTTGTTAATTCTGTGCAGTTTAAAGTCTGAAGTTCTGTTTGATTCTGGACTCCGTGTGGCTTTGCCAATTAGGACTTTGGTAGCGTGTCAAGTGGGTGATTATCAGCCTTATCCCGAAGGACTCTTTACAACTATTTGTGACTCATCTATGAATTCTCAGCTGTTAAAATAAAACAGGTTTTTGGGCCTACTCATGTGGTTTACTGACTCAGGAAGCCTAGGTAAGAACAATCAGACTGTTTTCTAGGCCAAGGCTGTGTCTTCTCCTCCTTCTCTCTCTCAAGGTCAGGAGTCTCCAAACTTGGCCACTTAAAAGACTTGTGGGCCTCATGCTGGCTGAGGATCTTTGGGAGTTGAAGTTCACAAGTCTCGAAGTGGCCATGTTTGGAGACCCCTGCTCAAGGTCATTCACAAATACCACTACAAGATGAGACCTCTCAGGCCATACAAAGCCCTCCATCGGTTGAACTTCAGCAGGACACTTTGAAAGCCCCAGATGGAATCTGTGGGAAGTAGAAAGTCTCCCATATTCCTCCCATTCTCACCCCCACCCTAATCGTGAACAATTCGATTCTGCCCTCTTTCAGTTTCCTTATCCATCAGTTCATTTCATATGAACTTCTAGAAGGTTTAAAGGCCAGGATGAAGATCCTGATCCCACACCTCTTCCCTTCTCTAGTGAGTGGAGCAGTGTTGTTCAACCTTGGGGACTTTAAAGCATATGGACTTCAACTCCCAGAATTGCTGGGAACTTCCATGCGGACTGCAGAATTCTGGTAGTTTATTTTTTTATTTATTTTATTTTATATCAAATTTATATACCGCCCTTCTCCCTGAGGACTCAGGGCGGTGAACAGCCAAATAAAAACATAAACTACAAACATTAAAATACTATTAAAAAGATATATATAAATTTGGCCCCGTAATTAAAAAACAATGACAAACCAGTTAAAAACATTTAAAAGTGTTAAGCCAGCCCGGCTTGCTGAAAAAGAAAGTTTTAAGGGCACGGCGGAAGGCACTGAGATCTTGGATTCTCCTTATCTCTGGAGGCAGTTGGTTCCAGAGGGTGGGTGCCCCCACAGAGAAGGCCCTCCCCCTGGGGGTCACCAGCCTACATTGTTTGGCTGATGGCACCCCGAGGAGGCCCTCTCTGTGGGAGCGCACGGGTCGATGGGAGGCCGTCGGTAGCAGCAGGCAGTCTCGAAGATATCTAGGTCCTATGCCATGGAGCACTTTAAAGGTGATAACCAACATCTTGAAGCGCACCCGGAAGACCACTGGGAGCCAGTGCAGCTCACGCAGGAGAGGTGTCATATGGGAGCGCCATGCAGCTCCCGTAACTACCCGCATGGCCGCAATCTGGACCAGTTGGAGCCTCCGGGTGCCCCTCAAGGGGAGCCCCATGTAGAGAGCGTTGCAGTAGTCCAGGTGAGAGGTGACGAGGGCATGAGTGACTGTGCGCAGGGAATCCCAATCAAGAAAGGGCCGCAACTGGCGTATCAGGCGAACCTGACAAAAAGTCCCCCTGGCCATAGCCGTCAGATGTTCCTCCAAGGACAGCTGCGTATTCAGAAGGACTCCCAGATTGCGAGCCCTCTCCAAGGGGCCAAAGACTCACCCCCAAAGTCAGAGATGGAGTCATCTGACTATATTGGGATGCCGGGAACCACAGCCACTCAGTCTTGGAAGGGTTGAGTTTGAGCCTGTTTAGTTGATGTCCACACATCTTAAAGTCCCCAAGGTTGAGAAGCAATAGATTAGAGTGTTGGACCAGAACTACCGTAGGTTCAAGTCTACCTTCACTGGATGGCTTTAATCGGTTTCTATCTCTGAGCCTGAGCCAACTCAGCAAAAGTTGAGAATGAGGACAAAGCCAAATCAAACCACAATAGCTTTACAATACCCCAAGGAGATTGATTACTTCCATAACTACATTTTTAAGTCTGAAATTTCTACTCTGCTTCCTTTCTAAAGTATCTCAACATAATCTTGTGGTCTAGGGAATTTCAATGTAGAATGGAAGGGTCCACTTAAAATCTAGTTATAGTATTACGGTACTCAGATTTGGAAGGTATTATAGGTAGTCCTTGACTTACAACCATTAATAGAGCCTGGCAATTACAGTCATAAGTTGTGAGGCTGGTAAAGTGGGACTGAACCAATTTTATGACATTTACAGCAGTCATTAAGCGAACATGGCAGTTGTAATGCAAACGTGGTGATCATACAGCGAATGCCACGGCCATTAAACAAATCCATTGTTCTCTATAGGCATTTTCTGGCAGAAATCAGAAGTAAATGCCGGTTTTCATAAAAAAAAATTCATAAATCACTGTCATGTGACTATCGGGCCCTGCAAAAGGCTGTAAATGCAGGCTGATTGCTAAGTGCCCAGAGTGTGGTCATATGACCGGGGTGTGGGGGTGTGGGGGGGAATGAGGCAGCCGTCCAAACTTCAGAACTTGTTCATAAGCACCTTTTGGAGACTCTGTCATAACTCTGAATGGTCCTTAAGTGACTGGTCCTAAGTCAAGGACTACCTGCAACAGTTTCTTCAAACAATTTTTTTCCTATGAACCTGCCAGCCTAATTGCTTTCTTAAAGAAACCCATATATTTTATTCTCACATTTTCTCCTCCATTAATCAGAACATCAGCTACTATCAAAATCAAAGTTATATAACCTGAAGCTACAGAGCACATGTGCAAGCTTCTATTTTTTTTTTTTATTGTTAAGAGAAAAGAGAAATCACTAAATAGAATGGGTACTGTTGTATTTAAAAGATCTGTTTTTAGTTTTAATTGCCTTTTAATGTAAAGTAGAGGAAGTTTGGCTTCTAAGCTGCTGCTTCTAGATTTGGGAGAGTACAACTCCACGGATGAATGCTCAAAAAAGTTTAGCATGGATCCCAGCCTGAAAGTATTTGTGTGACCTGATCTAAATTATGATTCAAAGCAGAACTGCCTTCCCACCCCATTGCACCCCATTTGTCCTCCCCACCAAAAAATGTACAGGTAGTCTTCAACTTAGGACCACAAGTGTGAACAGAACTTCAATTGCTAAGTCATGCGTTTGTTAAGTGAATTGTGTTCTATTTTACTGTTTTATTTTATTGTCACAGTCATTAAACAAATCACAGAGTCATTAAGCGAATCCAACTTCTTCCATTGAGTGATTGTTGGGAACCCTAGTTGCAAATCCCTGCAGCTGAGACAGAACTCAGGAGAAGAGCAAGGACTCCTGATCCGAGAACAAAGAGGGACGAGAGAAGGTGAGATCAATGCAGATTGAGCTGGCTACGAGGGAGGAGAGTGCCCCAGGCACACCTGGGGACTGAAATATAAGGAGGTACCGTGAGAGGGGCATTTGTTGGGAACAAACATTGAATCTATGGAGCCTTGTGTGCCCTTGCCTGGACATTGCTGTACTCTGTCTTGTGGGGCTTGCCAGTTTGCCTGCTTCACTAACCTGGTTTATTGGACTGGTGGGCCTGGTTGCTTACTGGACTATTTGCAGCCAGAGGCTCCTGAAGGGGTGTATGAGAGCTTTGCTCCAGGACTTGTAGTGAATGTGGGAACGTTTGGGGGCACAGTTGGAGCAATAAAGGGGAGTTAGACCTATTCTCTGGTTGCTTTCGTGCCACGCCCCAGGTCATCACACGGTGTGTGCGCCGGCCAAATACTCACACGGCCCAGTTGCAAATAGGCCATGTCCTGGTATTAGGCCATGTCCCACAGATTGGGGACCCCTCCTTTGTAGGAACAACACTAGACAGTGTTCACATTAGACCTTCTTGGTTACCTTCTCTACTGTCTTCTCCAACAGCTCTCACCTCATAAGCTCGGGAGCCAGTGATGTCAGCTAGTTTCTGAGCCCCTCCGACCTTTTCTTCCAGAGAATTACACTGGGCACTTGTGCTGGAATCCATCCAGACTGGACTGTTGCTGACAGAAAAGCAATTCTGTTGGAAACAAAGAAGAGACAGCAGAACAGCCAATAAAGTCAGAGTTGCAAGTTGGTTTAAGACAATACAGGTAGTACTCAACTCACCGCCCAATTGAGCCCAAAATTTCTGTTGCTAAGCAAGACAGTTGTTTAAGTGAGTTGTGCCCCAGTTTACGACCTTTTTTTAACCACACTTGTTAAGCGAATCACTGTTGTGAAGTGAATTATAGAATTGTTAATTGAATCTAGCTTCCCCCATTATCTTTGCTTGTCGGAAGCTGAGTAGTAACCATACAAATGGGGATTTCATAACCCTGGGAAACTGCAACCATTGTGTATATACAGGCCAAGCCCCACATTTTTATCATGTGGCCACAGGGATGCTGCAATGGTCATAAGTGTGAAAACCAGGCATAATTCACTTTCTTCAATGCCACTGAAACAGTTGAACAAAGAAAAAGTCTCTGCATTTGCGGAGAGGCAAAGGTAGAAAACCTGGCTCACATCCTCTTTGATTGTTGCCTGTACAAGAGGGTGAGAGATAGGTACCCCGGTCTATATACCAAACGAATGACCCATTGGGATCCCCGTAACAAAACAACTTACCTTATGTGTCGTCAGAATCTGAAAATAACATTTAACACAGCACAGGACTTAAGCAAAATGGTTCGGTTGAGATCGGCATGTGTGGGACTGATTGGGGTAGATTGTAGGGGTGATACCGAAATACAATTTTATCATATTTTATTTATCTATATATTAAGTGATTGTGTTCTATTCCAATTTCTTTTTAAACTGTATTTTATTCCAATTTCATTTTAAATTGTATTTTATCTAATTCCATTTTAAATTGTTTTTATCAGATTTTAGAAATAATTTGCGTCTGGAACTCTGCACTTTGAAATGGCTCTAGGGCTAATCAATAAAGTAAACTAAACTAAACACTAAAAAAAAAAAAGGTTGTATGTCAAGGGCTACATGTAAAGTCAGGGTCAAAAGTTGGTTTAGGACAATAGCACATCTTACTTCCACACTGGAAAGTGTTACAATGGTGCAGAGGAAATATTTTAGCAAGGAAAAGCAGTCATTATTTTACACATCAGACATTATCCTCTACTTTGGGACATTCAAGTCACAAAGGAGGCTACACCTAAGCTCTGTAAGAAGCCACAGTATGTTCTTGATGGTGTTTTTAATTATATTAAGCGACCCAGGTAGGGTGCATTTTCTATACAGGTAGTCCTCAACTTACGAACACAATTGGGACCTATCCTGTTTTTTAAGCAAAATGAAATATTTTTCTTTAAAAAATCAAAGCAATTCCAATTTAAAAGCATGCTCCAAAAGGTGCTTTAAAAAAAAAAATAGCCAACGAAATCATAAACTCAGCAGGAAGAACATTTTAAAGAGATGCAGTGATTATGGGACAGTTTGACTCTAAATCGTTGCAAGCAAAATCCGCAACTGTCAACAATCTTTCTCAAGTATTCCTTGAAAATATTCCATATACAAGAATCATTTCACTTCGAACATTCTGTGATTATTTTGACCTTTTATTATTATTTTTTTGGTTGGACCATATTATTTTAAAATTTTTATTTGTTAAATTTAATTTTAATGTTTTTAATGCTTTTGTATCTATGCTCTTATATTATTATAAGCAGCCCAAAGTTACTCAAAACAGTTATGACAAGTGGCATAATAAATAAATAAATAATAAATAAATAAATTTATTTGCTGAGTAAATTTGACTCAGAATCTCTTAATCTCAGCATTAACTTCATTTTTTTATGTATGTGTCTGAAATGTAAGTCGGCAAAAACCTATTAATCACCTTAAGAGGACAAGTTGGATCCATAGGCCTACTATAGCTGAGTACAAAAAAACTACTAAGTGAAAGTTGAAAACATCTCTAGAACCTCTGTGGATTTTTGCAGAAATGGCACCCTTAAATCAATCCCAAACTTGGTAGAACAATGAAATCAGCATGTCACAATTTTATTTTATGAAGACAGGAGGAAGAAACAAACAATCTCCCCTCTTTTCTTTCTTAAAGACTAAGTAAATGTGGAATGTTATCACATGGTCTATGTAAAGGAAAATCTATCACCTTGTGATGTAGCATCAGCTGCATTTGTTCTTGGCCAAGAAAACTATAAAGCATCTTCTACAGTTTTTCTAAGATCAATCAGTGTTAAGGTCAGTGAGCAAGAACAACTTCTAACTTCCTCTAAAAACCTCTGGAGACGATTACCTTCAGTGATTGATGTAAAGGAAGAACAGGTGATAAATTTTGCAAAACAGAGCGCGCTCCTTCTTTCCAATAGACACTTCCATGTTGCTGTTAAGTTAGGAAAAATAGAGAAAGAAGGTTGATGCTATGATTCCCATTAAATGATGATAAATGTTCACACTACCAGCGCTGAATAATGTGAGCAAAGGTGAGATTAAAATAATTATTTATTGCTGAAAGAAAAAGCTTTTTCTAAAATTTTCTTTGTGGTTTCCTTCTATAATTATATACCAGGATCAAAATATCTTTTAGAAAACTATAAACCATTCTGGTAGACAGGCAGATAATGGGTAATAATAGATGACAGAAAAATGATAGAAAGGAAGACATATTATGGTTCACCTGGAATAGTTTGTATGTGTGTAGTCTCTCTCTCTCACACACACACACACAGGCATAATATGTTACATCCACATACATACCGAATCTCTCAACTAAAACAAAAATTAAAAATAAATTAAAAAAAACAAATCAACAATTTTCTATTACTTAGAAAACAGAAATGGTAATCATAATCCCAGATTTTAAAATGTATTTTACTGTTCGGAGGTGGGAATTAAATGAATTTACAAATTAACTTCAAAAATAGACATGCAACATGTTTTAAACGGCCCACACTATGCAGAGAAGTCCTAATCTGTACTGGCCAATCAACCACACATTATGGTAGCAGACAAGGAGCTGATAGATGAAGTTCCACCAAGTGAGGAGGATGAGAAACTGGAGAAGTAGCAGGGCTTGAAGGAAGAAGTAGAGAGAATGTGGGAAGTCAAGGATCCAACAGATCCCAAGAACAAAGCACTCTTTTCCAGAAGAAGGCAGGATTAGGAACAGCTAAGATCCTGCAAAGAACCCTCAAACTCCACGGCCTCTGGTACAGGAATCAATGGAAGATATACAACACCCATAAGGAGGGAGGGAGGGAGGGAGGAAGGAGGGAAGGAAGGAGGGAAGGAAGATGGGAGGGAGGGAGGGAGGGAGGGAGGGAAGGAAGGAAGGAAGGAAGATGGGAGGGAGGGAGGAAGGAAGAAGGAAGATGGAGGGAAGGAAGGAAGGTGGAAGGGAGGGAGGGAGGAAGGAAGGAAGATGGAGGGAAGGAAGGAAGATGGGAGGGAGGGAGGAAGGAAGATGGAAGGGAGGGAGGAAGGAAGGAAAGAAGGAAGGAAGGAAGGAAGATGGGAGGGAGGGAGGAAGGGAAGGAAGGAAGGAAGGAAGGAAGGAAGGAAGGAAGGAAGGAAGGAAGGAAGTCAATGGGAGGGAGGGAGGAGGGATTTAAACTGGAAACACACTGAGCCCAAAGCATGTTTTCCATCATCACCACCTTCCTTTTAACCAACCTGTCCAGCTCCAGACAAAGCTTTTACAGTGGAGAAATTAAAGCCTGCAGACTTCATCTTTTCCAAAATCAGATCCAGGGCCTAGAAAAAGAAGAAGAAGAAGAAACATTGCAGAGCAATTTCAGTATTCTTGGAAATTTGAAAATCTCACATGTCTCAGGAATAAACGGAAAAGAGATGCCAGGTGCATCCATGAAGGGCTTTTAGAAAAAATCGACATGTTGGTCACAAGCATGCGACTGAAACTCTGCCCCTTTTCCACATGCATCACGATTACTTTTCATAACAAACACACCCACACGTACCCCAGGTAAGACCCAGGAAGGGGGACTGCAGTTGTGCAAACTCCTGGGTAACATCTCTGTTCTATGAGTTGTACCGGTTGCCAATTGACTTCTGAGGACATTTCAAGACCATCATCAGTAATGCCCTTTCGTGGTTCAGAACCAGGCTGTCTGTGGAACCGTATCTCTTCCTTGTTGCTTCTTCATGTTATTAGCTCTAGCAGACCAGGTATCCCCCAGGTCCCATCACGGCAGTCATGTTATCTTCTGGGACCTTGGAGACATGCCCTGGTGGTGACCATGTCTTCCCTGGAAGATAGCATCCATCCCAAAAGACTTGCCTGCCTACCTGTCTGCCTCCTCCTTTTTCTTCCTTCCTCCCTTCCCTCCCTTCCTCATTCTCTTCCTTCCCTTCCTTCCTTCCTTTCTCCCCTTCCTTCCTTCTTCCTTCCTCCCTCCCTCCCTCTCCCTCCTTCTCTTCTCTTCCTTCCTTCCCTTCCTTCTTCCTTCCTTCCTCTCCCTCCTCTTCCTTCACTTCCTTCCTCCTCTTCCTTCCTCCCTTCCTTCTTCCTTCCTTCCTCTCTCCCTCCTTTTCTTCCCTTTCTTCCTTCCCTTCCTTCCTCCCTTCTCTTCCTTCCTTCTTCCTCCCTTCCTTCCTCTTCCTCCTCTTCCTTCCCTTCCTTCCTTCCTTCTTACTCCCACTCTTCCTCTTCCTTCCCTTCCCTTCCTTCCTTTCTTTCTCCTCTTCCCTTCCTTCCTTCTTCCTCCCTTCCTCCTTCTCCCCCCCCTTCTCTTCTCTTCTCTTCCTTCCTTCCCTTCCTTCTTGCTTCCTTCCTCTCTCCTCTTCCTTCCCTTCCTTCCTCCTCCTTCTCTTCCTTCCTCCCTTCCTTCCTTCCTCTCTCCCTCCTCTTTCTTCCCTTTCTTCCTTCCCTTCCTTCCTCCCTTCTCTTCCTTCCTTCTTCCTCCCTTCCTTCCTATTCCTCCTCTTCCTTCCCTTCCTTCCTTCCTTCTTACTCCCACTCTTCCTCTTCCTCTTCCTCTTCCCTTCCTTCCTTCCTCCCTTCCCTCCCTTCCTTCTTCCTCCCTCCCTCCCCTCGTTTCCTTCTTCCTCCCTCCCCCCTTCCTTCCTCCCTCTCTTTCTCTTGCTTCCCCCCCCTCCCTCCCTCCTTTCCTTCCTTCCAAACTTGGCCACTTTTAAGACTTGTGGTTTTCAACAGCCAAAATTCCCCATCCTCCCATCCTTTGACTTGAAGTCCAGAAGTCTTAAAGTTGTTTGACATCCCAGGACTACACAGTCCCAAATTTATGGCCATGCAGAACAAGACAGAAGTTCTAGCATTAGCCCCAGGCCAGGACACTTCGCAATCCACCCTGATATTGCAATATTGTTCTTAGCGTTGTCTTCCCTAATATAGCAATAGATCTCGGGAATTTTCTTGTTCTTGGACTCGTTTTGTCTCCTTGCTCTATTGGCTCGAATAGTGCATAATCACTTGGACTAAAACAGCTTGTAACTTGAACAAATAAACACTGAAATAAATCAGCCAGCGCTGGAGGGAGGGAGAAGTAGCTTTATCCTCAAACAGCCCCAGGATCCTTCTATCTAGGTTAAGACAAGTCGGCCTTAACCTAGATGGATAGGCCCAGTCGGCCATATTGTTTCATCACAGAAGGGTGGACAAAATAGCTTTGCAGTGTGACCCAACACATTTGCTCTTCTCTTTCTATAAATACAGGTAGTCCTTGACTTACGACCGCAATTGAGCCCAAAATTTCTGTCGCTATGTGAGATATTGGTTAAGTGAATTTTGCCCCAATTCTTGTCAGACTTGTTAAAAGTGAAGCACTGCAGTTGTTAAGTTTAGTAACATGGACATGCAGTGAATCTGGCTTCCCGATGGACTTTGCTTGTCAGAAGTTCGCAAAAGAGGATCACGTGATCCGGGGGAGGGGGGGGGCACTGCCACGGTCATAAATATGAGTCATTTGCCAAGTATCAAAAATTTGATCGCATTGGGGATGCCGCAATGGTTGTAAATGTGAAAAACGGCCGTAAATCACTTTCTTCAGTGCCCCTGTAACTTTGAACGGTCACTAAATGAGGACTACCTGTATGAGGACCAATCCCTCCTTGTCCTTCCCCAGCTTTTGCTCACCTGGAAAGCAGAACCTGGAAATGCTGGCTGAGCAAGCAGGATGCCAAGCAAGATGGCAAAGCTATGGTTAAATGCCAGGGTAAAACTCGTTCTCACAGCCACAACCTTTGAAAGCAAGCCTTTGCGGAGAAAAGTAACCATGCTAACATCTGTACCTTTCAGCTGTGCAGACTTATGAAGGCCCGTGGCCAGAATTCAACCATCCGTCGGACAACACTGAGTGCGGCCAACCTCAAATCAGCGAGATGGATTGCACTGGTGGAGCCAAAGGCGGAACGTACATTTTTATTTACCGTATTTTTCACAGTATATGATGCACCTTTTCCCCCCCTGAAAGGGGGTGAAAATTTAGGTGCGTCTTATACACCGAATGTAGCCTCACCCACCCACTGGCCCCCACCCTTTGGCCTCTGCCTCGCAGCAGTTTACCTCCTTGCAAGCAAACAGCAAGAAAAAACAGTTCCTTTCAGCTTCAGCATAAACTAATTAGCACAAGTTGATTGGATCGGCCTCCCGACTCTCAGCTGATTTGCTCTCAGCTGTTTTGCGCAGGGCTCAGCTGCTTGCTGCAAAGAGGTAAATTGCTGGAGCAGATTTTTTTTCCCTTGTGCTAATCGAGCTATGCTGAAAACGAAAATGAAAGTAAAGCAGGCTGTTTGCTGCAAGGAGGCAAAATTGCTCAGAGGCAGAGGGAGATTTCTTTTTCTTCTTTTCCTCACCAAAAAAGGTAGGTGGGTCTTATACTCCGGTGTGTTTTATACTCCGAAAAATATGATATTTTGGGGTGAAAGGGGATAGAGAGAAGCACATCAGAAAATGCTTCTCTATCTCTTTCTTTCTTTTTTTGCTCTTGCATTTGTACAAATGCTCACAGCGATTGTGAGTTTCGCCTTCATTTGAAATACTTTCATTTCAAAGAGAGGGGATAACAAAGCTATTTTAACCTATAAAGGGGATAGAAAGGAATGTAACTGAGGTAGTCCTCGATTTACAACAGTTCATTTAGTGACCATTCAAAGTTACAATGGCACCGGAAAAAGTGACTTAAGACCATTTTTCACACTGCGGCATCCCCATGGTCACATGATCAAAATCCAGACGCTTGGCAGCTGGTTCATAGTTATGACGGTTGCAGTGTCCCAGGGGTCATGTGATCACCTTTTGCGACCTTCTGGCAAGCAAAGTCTATGGGGAAGCCAGATTCACTTAACAACGGTTTTATTAATTTAATAATTGCAGTGATTCATCTAGAAAATGGGCAAGAAACTCAATCAGTCGTAAAGCGGAGCAAAAGTCAACCAAACAAATTTCTCACTTAGCAACATAAATTTTGGGCTCAGTTGTGGTCGTAAGTCGAGGGCTACCTGTATAGATGGTCCTCATTTAATGACCACTTGTTCAGTGACAGTACCATGGTGCTGAGCACACCATTCCCACAGTCATGTGATCTCTGGGTGCAAGGCAATCAGTCTGCATTTTACAACAGTTGCTGAGTCCACAGTTACACATGGTTGTAAGTGTGAAAAATACACTTAAGTCACTTTTGCGGTGCCATTGGAACTACAAATGGTCACTAAACAAACTATTGTAAGTCACTGACTACCTGTACCACTTATTTTTTCCCCTAAATATTGTCTTACTTGAAAACAATTGACAGAATAAGCGCTAGTCTAGACTCGTATCTGTTCACAGAAATGCTTTGAGCCCTGTGAGGTTCTCTCCATGGGCTGGTTGGAGAAGCATGTTTGGAAGATAGTTTTCCTTCTGGTCCAGGAATGGCTTCCGAGTATGGAAGTCCTCGACTTATAACCATTCGTTTAGTGACTGTTCAAAGTTACAACAACACTGGAAAAAGTGACTTATGATCATGCACTTCAGCAGTTCAAATCTCACCAGGCTCAGTCTTCCACCCTTCCGAGGTCGGTAAAATGAGGATTGTTGGGGGAAATAGGCTGACATTTGTAAACTGCTTACAGAGGGCTGTACAGCACTGTAAAATGGTATATATAATTGCATTCAACAATGAACTAAAGGGCAACTATCAGTGAGCTGTTGGACAGCATTACTTGGTCTGTTGTGTGGATGTTGGGGTAGTTTAGGGGTGGGGAATTTGTGGAGGGTGGGGGGGTGTTTGGGGATTGTCATGTGTGTTGGACCTGGTCTTTGGGTGTTAAGTGAATTTCGTTGTATGAGTATACAATGACAATAAAGTTATTATTATATGCTGACATAAGGAAGAGAAGAGGACGCTTGACTCTTCACCTACTTATTTTCCCTGAAGATATTATCCCCTAGAAGATGGGATGGGAAGGGGGACATTCCTGTGAGCTGAAGTAGTAGATATGGGGAGAGTGACTTGGAAGATGGCCAATGAGACACAGAGAATTGGTGAACGGAAAGGGAGGGTTTGGGGTCAGAAGGTCAGTGCTGACTATGATGGACTCGGGGACAGATTGTTGTGCTCAATAAATGAAAGATTTCATCAAAGACTATTTGTTTGGAAATGCAATTTATTTTGAGACGACATCGTAACCTGACACTAAGTGCTATTGCTATTCTTCACACTTAAGACTATTGTAGCATCCCGTGGTCATGTGATCAAAATTTGGACACTGGGCAGATAGTTCACGTTTGTGATGGTTGCAACGTCCCAGGGTCATGTGATCCCCTTTTGTGACCTTCTGACAAGCAAAATCAATGGGGAAGCCAGATTCACTTAACAACCGTGTTACCGACTTAACAGCTGCAGGGATTCACTTAACAAGCATGTCACGAAGGGTTGTAAAATGAGACAAAATTCACTTAACAACTGTCTTGCTTAGCAACAGAAATTTGGGGCTCAATTGTGGTCGTACATTGGGGTGTATTGTGAGTCCCGAGGTAAGGTTGGGGTGCTTCGGGGGGGGGGGAGGGAGGCCTCGGGGGGCCCTGTAGAGTGAATTGAGGCAGGGGCTGCTGCAATGCAGCGTGAGGACAAAGAGGCCAACAGAAGGAGCAGGGAGTAGTCAGAATACAGGTAGTCCTCAACTTACAACCACAACTGAGCCCAACATTTATGTTTATAAGTGAGAAATGTGTTAAGTGAGTTTTGCCCTATTTTACAACGTCACTTTTTGTTAAATGAATCGCTATAGTTGTCAAATTAACACCGTTGTTAAGTGAATCTCATTCCCCCCCC